ACGGCGGCGCGCCGCCGGCCGCGGAGGGCGACGCCGCCGCGCCGTCCGTGAAGCTGCCCAAGTCCGACGCCGTGCGGTCGCAGTCCAAGGGCGTCATGGGCGGCGTCCTCGACGGCGTCCGGGGCGCCATCGCGGACGTGGGCAACGTCGTCAAGCTCGCCGGCGACCTCGGCCACCTCCACTCCAACTTTGACGAGGCCATCGAGAGCCTAGCCTACGTCGAGCACTGCGTGCCGAAGATCGTGTCGGCCCTCGAGATGCTCCAGTCCGTCGTCCAGGTCATCCTCAAGGCCGTCCAGGGCGTCGCGTTCCCGCCGAACCCCGCGGTCATCGTCGACCTGATGCACACGTCGCGGCGCGTCATGAAGCAGGCCGCGTCCGTCGTCGACGTCTACGACAGCCAGGCGGACCTCGCCAAGTCCGTGGGCATCCTCTCCAAGTTCGCGCTCAAGCTCGTCGACTCCATCGCGCGGACCGCGGCGCTGCTCAAGAACGCGCCGTCCCTGGGCTGCTGCGACTCCTGCGTCGCCTGCTGCTCGTCCATGTCCGGCGCGACGGCGACGGGGTCAAGGCTCGCGGGCGTGTAATATGAGGGCGTCGACCTTTGGGGCCCGCAAGCCTAGGCACCGACCCCTTAGTTGTATTCGGCGAGGAACTCGAGGAGCTTCTCGTTGACGTCGCCCGGCCGCTCCTGCTGGATCCAGTGCCCGCCCCCCTCCAGGAAGGTGATCGGCGGGTCGTTGGCCGCGCAGGTCGCTTTCAGGTCGGCCGTGATCTTCTCGACGCCGCCGAACATGTCCACCACCAGGTCCTCGGTGCCCGCGAGGAAGCCCGCGGGCACTTTCAGCTTCCGCCCGTCGCCCTTCAGCTGCGGGGTCGCCTCCCAGTCCGGGTCCATGGTCTTGTACCAGTGGAGCCCGCCCTCCCAGCCGTTGCGCTCGTACTCGTCGACCACGTAATCGACCTCGGCCTGCGTGACCCAGGGCGCCAATTTCGTCGGCTGCGGGATCCGCTTCCAGATCGCCGGCGTCGCGTCGCCGTCGTAGAGGTCGCCGCGGAGCTCGTGGAGGGGCGGCGTCGCGCCGTCGACGCGGTCGCCGAACTGGAGGGCCATCTGCGCGGCGCGCGCGTCCTCCGCGTAGTCGGAGGCCGCGTGGGGCAGGTGGTGGTGCAGGATGTAGAAGAACTTCGTCGGCTGCGGCGCCCAGGGGTAGAGGTGGCCCCAGCCGTAGACGGAGGTCTTCCGCGTCTCGTCGCCGTAGGCCGTCTTGCGCATGAGCCAGAGGGGCGCGACGGGCGCCCGCTTCGCGCCTACGAAGCGCGACGATTGCTCATTGTTTCCCCACCCCAAATCTCTCACGGTCACAGGACGCCGCTTCGCGCGGACGGGCACCGAGAGCGCGTAGTAGCACCGCACGATCTCCGGCTCGAGCTGCGCGAGGAGCCAGCCCGTGAAGGCGCCGTGGTCGTGGCCGACGAAGGCGGCATCGTCCGTTTCGAGGTGGTCGAGGAGGGCCTTCATGTCGCCCGTGCGCTTCGCGACGCCGTAGTCCGCCGTGTCCGCGGGCGCGTCCGTGCCCCCGAAGCCCCGGAGGTCGGGCGCGACCGCGCGGTAGCCCGCGGCGTCGAGCGACGCGAGCTGGTGCCGCCAGGAGAACCAGCTCTCGGGCCAGCCGTGCATGAGCACGACCAGGGGCTTGGACGCGTCGCCGGGCGCCGTGTCGCAGTAGCGCATGGTCAGGCCGTTGTTCAGCTTTACGGTTTGAAGTGAGTCGACGAGCTGCTGCGTCGCCGGCGCTAATCCGCCGAGGAGCCGCCGGCACGGGGGCGGGCCGAGTCGCCGGAGCTCCGGCCGCGTCGCGCGGCGCAGGGCAGCCACGAACGCCATCGCGTGCTTCCAGAAGAGAGCGGCCCCGCGCAGTTGTTGAAGGGCAAATTGACGGTTTCAAATATGTTCAAAAGAGCTCTCGAGGAGCTCTCGGGCAGCCTCGACAGAATGCTGTCGTCGCAGAGCGCGCCGAGCCTCGCCGTCGCACCGGCGCCGCGCGGGACGCGCCAAGCGCAGAGCCTGCTCCTCGTGCGCGATGCCAGGTTGGGCCCGGCGACGGAGGCGTCGACGTCGACGAGCGACCTCATGGCCGCTGCACCCGCGCCCCTGCCGCCGACGGCGCTCCTGGCCGGGACCGCCGGGCATGCGTCCTTCGAGGCCCTCGGCGCCGCGGAGCCCGCACTCTTCGCCTACGCGTCGATCCGCGACGACGAGGCCGCGGCGGACGACGGCGAGGTCGCGCTGGACGCCGAGGAGCTGGTGAAGCGCAAGGTCGAGCGCATGCTCGCCAAGTCCGGCGGCGAGCAGCGGACCGCCGAGGACACGTCGAAGACGAGCGCCGTGGCGCTCGACGCCCTGACGAAGCCCGTCGCGGCCTGGGCGAAGGCGCTCTGCTTCGACCGCGCGGCCGCGGCGGCGTCGGTCGTGCCCGCGCCGCCCGTCGCGCCGCTCTGCGAGGACGCCGACCTCGACTGGCTCGCCGTGCCCGCGAAGCGCGAGCGCTACGAGGCGTCGCGGTCCGCGGCCTTCGTCGCCCAGGCGAAGAGCCTCTGGGAGGCCGTCAGGAGCGCGCAGGACGACTGGCGCCGCGAGAGCTACGTCGCGTTCCTCACGCGCGCCGCGGCGGTGATGGGTCGCGAGGACGTCGACGTTTCGGCCTGCTGGAAGGCCGACGCGGGCGGCGGCGACCGCCTCACCTACGCGCGCTTCTTCAAGGGGCTCTTCCAGTGCGTCGACGCGTGCTGCGAAACCGCCGGCGCACGAGAGCGCGAGGTCGTGCTCGCGCGCCTCGTCGACGGCGTCTCCGCCGACGACGCGGGCGTCCGGGCGCTGAAGCGCGAGGACGCGGTCGTCTACGACGCCGCGTTCTCCGCGACCTGGGCGCTCGCGCGCGCGCCCGCGCGGGCGCCGGCGTCGCTGTTCCGCGGCGCGAACGCGGCGGCGATCCAGCGGTTGCGCCGCGGCGGCCTCGGCCGCGAGAAGGCGGCCCGGCGGAGCGCCGCGCTGCGCATGATCCAGAAGCGCTGGTACCAGTGGGTCCACGCCAAGGGCACCAACATGTACGCGCCGCAGCGTCGCGTGATGCTTTTTTCGCGCAATTCGCGCCGGGACACGGGGAAGAGATGCGACCCGTGGTAGGTACTGCGTCTTCCAGGCGCTCGTCGCGCGGCGCAAGGCGCGGCAGGACGAGATCTCCGCGGGGCTCACGGAGCGCGCGGAGAAGCTGCGGCGGCGCCGCGCGTCGCGCGAGAAGATCGACGTCTTGAAGGTCGACACGTCGCGCGGGCGCCGCGCGCGGCGGTCGTCGGCCATCGCGGCCGCGAGCCTCGGCGGCGTGCTCGACGAATTCCGCGCCAAGTCGCCGACGCGGCGGCGGCGGTCGTCGTTCGGCGCGCCGGGCGACTCGCCGCCGTCGGCGACGTCGCTCCCGCCGCTGTCGCCCGAGGCGCCCGCGGCTGTGACCGCGCTCTTCCAGGGCAGCCCCGCGTCGTCGCCCGAGGGCCGCGCGAGCCCCCAGCGGCGCCGGCGGCCGAGCGCGTCCGAGGCGTCGGCGGACGCCGTCGTCGACCGCCTCCGGCGCCGGTCCAAGGGCGGCGACCGCGCGGTGTCCGCCGTCGCCGCCGCCGTGCTCCTCGAGCGCGGCAACGGCCGCCCCCGGAGCCGCAGCAACAGCGACGCCGACGGCGCCCGGAGCCGGAGCACCAGCGACGTCGACCGGCCGCGGAGCCGGAGCACCAGCGTCGCGGACGCCGACGCGGGCCTCGCGCGGCTCGCGCGCCGCGAGGCGCTCCTGAGCCGGCCCGACGCCGAGGCGCTCGTCGGCCGCGTGCTGAGCGCCTGGCTCGCGCGGGAGGCCGCGCGGCGCCACTCGGCGTGCCCCGTCGGCACGCTCGACGCCTTCGTCGCCGCCTACGCGCGCCGGTCCGCGCCGAGCCTCGGCGCCGCGAAGCGCGCGCTCCGGGTGCTCGCGCGGTCCGTCGCGGAGAAAAAAAGCGGCTCGCCGCGGCTCCGCGCCTTCGCGGCCCTCGCCGGCGTGGAAGCGGCGGCGCACAACGCGCGCGTCTTCCCGACCTACGTGTCGCCGGCGCTCCGCGCCTTGTACCCGGGCCGCGTCTACGCCGGCGAGCCGCGCGAGCGGAGCCGCGTCCTCGACGCGCTCGCGGCGCCGGCGCCGGCCGCCGTCCGCGCGCGCGTCCGCGCCGCGCTCGCCGAGGCCGCGCCGGGCGCCGACGGCGACGACGTCGACGTCGACGCCGCCGTCCTCGCCGCGCTCCCGGTCTTCTTCCGCGTCGACGCGCTCGCCGCGGCGCGGCGGCGCCGCGCGGGCGCGGCCATCGTCGCCGCCGTCCGCCGCCGCGCCGCGTCGAAGCGCCCGGCGGGGCGGACGCCCGCGGACACGCCGCCGGCGTCGCCCGCGGTCTTCAACCGGAGACTCGGGCCCATCTCCCCGCCGATGCCGCCCCGGCGCCTCGGGGTCGCGTGAGACGACGTCCTTCTAGCTTATGATGCGGCGCGCCTCATTCTTCGTCAAAGAAATCGAATTCTTCTTTCAGTTCCAGAGTGCCACCGCGAACTTCGAGGATTGCCTTTGCGCGCGCACCGTCGTCGTCCAGCGGCTCTGGCAACAGTGGCCGATTACCAACGCAGACCCAGTTGAGCTTGGAGCACCCTTGGACCAAGCTCAGAAGCATGGATGTGCCCAGCGATGAGTCGAAGGGAGTAAACCGTGACAGCGTCTGAGCGCACGGGCCGGATAGGATCGCGTCGATGACGGCAGCTGAATAGGTAAGCGAAGGAGTTCCCAATCCAAGCATGAGCTTCTCCAGTTTGAGGGTCCCAATCCATCGCATGCAGTCGTCGATGAAAAGGCCGTCCTGTGGCAGGCTCACCAGCAGTTCTGTCAGCTCGGGCCGCGCGTACGAAAGCCTTCTGTAGAAGGCCGGATCGAAGGCATCAAAGATTCCAGTCAGATCTAGAAGTAGATCTAGCGACCGCAGCAAAGGGCAGCCAGTCGCAAGCTCTAACACCATTGATGACGAGATCTCGGCATATGCTAAAGAGATGGTATGGACACGCGAGGACAAGGGCGTCCGCAGCAGCCGGGTGATTAGAGGTTGCGTCACGCGGCAGCTGCCGAAATCCCAGGCGGTGGCCTGTAGGCATCTCCGGGCAGATTCCTCGATGCGATCCAATTTCTGTGGGCAGTATTTGTTTACCTTAAACACTTTCGAGAAATCAAGTTCGGTCAAGTTCTCGAAGAACATGGCGTATTCTTCGGGCACGCTTCCGAATTCGGTGCTCGAATTCCGCAGGGGGAAGCAGACCTCTTCGAGCAATGGGCAGGCCCTACTCACACTCTTCGCAAAATCTTCCAATGAATTGTCTACGGCTGACTGCAAAAGTGGAATGGCATCGCCCATGCCCAAACTTCTCAATCGGGGACAGGCCCGACACACGTCAAGAAAAGCGTCGACAGTGAGGGAGGTGTATGCCACGCAGAGCTCAATCAAGTGACCCTTGGTATCTAATACCAACGAGTGCATCGAACGTAGCACCGCCGTCGACGATCCACGGAAATAAAGTTTTCGACAGGCGCTGCCGAATACGCGGCCGCGAGCCACTATGGCGCGCGGGTCGGTACGCGGATCGCGTGGTTCATTAGTGTCAGGCGGTTGTATCGCGTCGAAGTCAATAGTGTTCAATGTGTGAGGCGCCGGTTTCTCGGGAGAAACCGGGCCAGCATCCTCGTGGTCCCGCACGGCCCGCTGCACCGCGTCGCGGCAGAGGGTCGACGCGGCGCGGAGGACGAGCGCGTGGCGGCGGTCCTGCCAGGAGAGAAGGAAGTGCGCGACGTGGGCCACCGTCTCTAGCGGAAGCGTCGACATCGGCGGCGCGGGCGGCGTCGCAACAGAGAGCTCAAAACTCAGCTCCGGTCCGGGTCGGCGTCGGGCGGAAGTGGTGCGGCGCGGCGCGGCGCGGCGGCGCGGTTCACGTGGAGCGGGGCCAGGCGCGCGTCGTGCGCTACGCCGCGCGGGAACGGGGCTGCGCGCGGCCGCCGCGGTGGCCTCGAGTCTGTACTTCTCGGCGGGCTGGCTCTCGATGCCGTCCTCCGCCCCCTAACCCTACTCGAGTAACCCTAACCGGGGGTCCATGTCGAAACTCCGCGGCCGAATAAAACGCGCCCCTAAAACCCCCACGCCTTCGGGGCGTCCTTGAACTTGTCGGCGGCGAGGCCCTCGACGATCTGCCAGTCCGTGAGCGTGTCGATCTCCGCGAGCGTCTCCTCGGGCATCTCGTGGGCGACGACGCGGCCCGAGAGCCGCGAGCCGGACGCGCGGAGCGCCGCGACGGTGAAGAAGTAGAAGGCGCCGTTCTCGATGAGCTCGCCGTCCCAGTCCTGGCGCCGCGGCCGCTTCACCGGGTCGTAGTTGCACGGCGCCGCGGAGCCGTCGGCCGCCTGCTTCCACAGGAAGCGGTGCGCGCGGACGACGGTGACCAGCGAGTCGGCGCCCTGGGCGACGAAGCGCGCGTGGCCCGCGGCGAAGTCCTCGGCGCCCGTGAGCGGGCTCGTGCACTGCACGAGGCAGCAGACGGCGCAGCTCGGCGTCGCGTCGACGTAGTCGAAGACGCCCGCCTCGCTCGACGCCGCGTCCGCGGCGCTCGCCGCGCTCCGCGCGTGCGTGCTCGCGCCGGCCCTGGCGGCGACGGCCAGGATCTCGTCGTCGTCGCTGGACACGACGACGCGGCCGAAGACGCCCGACGCCAGCGCCGCCTTGACGTTGTAGACGAGGAGCGGCACGCCGTTCAGGGGCTTGATGTTCTTCCGCGGGATGCCCTTGGAGCCGCCGCGGGCGAGGATCAGCGCGTGCGGCTTCGCGTCGACGTGCGCCGCCATGCGCGCCGGCGCCGCGGCAGCGGGAGAGCGGGCGTCGAGAGAGCTGTGGCTGTGAAGCGCGGCAGAAGAAGCTTTTTAGCGGATGCAACTTTCCCTGATCTTGCCGCGGCAGTTCTCAGATGGCCGAGTGAAAGATAGTGCCCACGCAGCCCACGCCATGCGGCCCTGACCCATGCGCGGCGGCGACCAGCGCGTCAAGGAGCGCCACTTCGGCGGCGACCGGGGCCTCGACTGCGGCGACCTCAATGGGCTCGAGACCAAGGTCGCCTACCTGCGCAAGCGGAGCTCGCGCGGCTTCTGGCAGCGGCGCCACGTGCGGCTCCAGAACCGGTGGCTGCTCTACGCCAAGTCCAAGAGCGCCGCGGCGCCGGACGTGTCCGTGGACCTGCGCAACGTCGCCGCCGCGCGCGTCGCGGACCGCTTCGGCGAGTTCGCCTTGGACTTCGCGGGCGGCAAGTCGCTGCGCCTCCGCGCGCGCAGCGCCAGGGAGGCCACGGACTGGGTCGAGTGCGTCAAGGCGCGGGTGGCCTACTTCGAGCGCCTCGCGCGGACCGCGCGGCAGGTCGCGGCGGAGCGGATCGACGACCGCCCTGACCCATGCGACTCCGACGACGAGCCCGACGACGGCGGCGCGGTCGTCCGCGAGGGTTTCCTGCTCAAGCTCTCGGACCGCGCCGTCGTCGGGTTCCAGAAGCGCTGGGTGGCGCTCACGCGCGGCGGCGCCCTGACCTACGGCAAGAGGCGCGGCGACGCCGCGGGCTCGATCTCGGGATCCGCGGGCGACGTCGCCTGGGCGTCGGACTCGCCGGACTGCGTCGACTTCCGCGTCGACGCGGGCGCGCGCGTCTTCGTCTTCCGCGCCGCGGACCGCGCCGAGGCGGCGGCGTGGATGGCCGCGGTCCGCGCGAGCTTCGACCGGGGCGAGGCGGCGCGCGCGGCGTCGCGCGACGCCGCGGACGAGCTCCAGCGGTCCAGCGCCGACGCCGACGCGCACCTCGCGGCGCTGCGGAAGCGCCACGGCGTCGGCGACCGCGACGCGCGGCGCGCGCGGCGCACGTTCCGCGCGCTGAGCCACGGGAGCGCCGTCGACGCGGCCTTGCCCGCGCGCGACGCGGGAATCGTCTTCGAGGGCCTCGCCGCGGCGCTGCAAGCCGTCGTCGCGACCAACGGGTCCCTGCGCGGCGCGCCCTACGGCCTCGTCGACGACGCCGTGCGCGCGCTCCACGACGCGACGTCCGCGGTCGCCGCGGCGGCGCTCGAGGCCGGCAGGGCGGACGGCGCCGCGCACGACGCGCGAAAAAGAGCCATCCTCGTCGCCGTCCACGCGGCCTGGCGCGAATGTTACTGGGCGCCCGTGGCGCTGCCGCTCTTGGAGACCGTCGCCGCGGGCTGCGGCGCGCCCCTCGCGGCCGCCGCCGGGGACGCGGCGCCGCCGCCGCCGCCGTGCGCCGAGTGCGCGGCGCTCGCCGAGTTCGACGAGAAGTGCGGCGCCTGGCCCGCGTGCTCGCCGGGCGGCGCCGACGACGCCGCGGCGCTCGCGCGCGAGGCCCTGGCCTTCCCGACGGTCAGCGACCGCGTGTCCCTGGCGACGTGGGCCGCGCGGCACCGCCGCGCGTTGCTACATGTCGCCGCGGCGCTCGCGCCCGGCGGCGGCGGCGGCGGCGGCGGCGCCGCGCTGTCGGAGCTCCGGGACCTCGCGGCCTTCTCGGCGCGCGTCGCGGCGCGGGCCGTCTTCGGGGCCGCGGGCGAGCGGCGGCGCGCGGCGAATCGCCGCGCGGCGGCGGACCGCGGCGACGGGGCGTTGGAGTCGGAGGACGAGGACTTTGGCGACGGGCCCTTCGAGGCGCACGTCTACGTCGACGGCGGCGCGGGCTTTCCGCCGTCGTCGTCGAAGCTGCGCGTCGTCGTGCCGGGCGCGGGCGCGACGCGCGCCGCGGCGGGGCCCGACCCGTCGTGGCGCGAGGCGGTCGTCGTACGGAGCGCGGCGCCGGACGCGGCGGTGACCGTCGCCGTCGACGACGACGGCATCCGCGTCGGCGCGTGGGACCTGGCATTGGAGACGCTCGCCGCGGCGCCCGCGCGGCGCGGGCGCCGGCGCGTGTCGCTCGACGGCGGCGCGTCCGTCGAATTGGTCGTGCAACTCCGGACGCCCCGGTCGCCGGACGCGCGCCGCGCGGACGCCGCGACGGCGACGCGCGAGGAGGGCCTCGCCGCCCAGCTGCGGCGCCTCCTGTCGCGCGTCGCTTCGAAGCCCGCGGCCCTCGGCGGCGGCGGCGGCCGGCCGTGGTTCACGACGCGGCCCGGGGACGCGTGGGGCTGCGTCGACCACTACGGCGCGCTCTGCGGCGAGGCCCGCGACGCGAATCTGGCGACGGCCCTCGCGTCCGCGGCGCTCCAGACCATGGCCGCCCTCTGCGCGCGCGGCGAACCGGCCGTTACGGAGCTGCCGGGCCTCATGGCGCGGTGCAACGACGCCGTGACGCACAGCGAGCGCGCCGCGGAGCTCCTCGCGGCGCTCCCGGACGCGTGCCAGGCGCTGCTCCAGCGCGACGCGGACGCGTTCTCGGCGGCCGTCGACGGCGCCCTCGCGGCGGCCTGCGACGGCGTCGCGGCGGCGATTTTGTCCGACGTCGGCGCCGTCGTCCGCGCGCCCGCGGAGCTCTGCGACGCCACGGGCGAGCTCGGCCCGCCCTACGACAGCGACGACGACGAGGGCGCGGGCTGCTTCGCGATCGTGCGCGCGACCATCGACGACTACGGCGTCGACCTCCGCGAGGGCCTCTCGGACGTTTGCTACGCGAGGGCGCTCGCCGCGGCCGTCGCCGCGGTCTGCGGCGCCTACACCCGCCGGCTCGAGGACCTCGCCGAGGCCCTCGCGGACCGGCGGCGGGCGCGCGACGACGACGCGGCGCGGGCGCGGTCGCGGACGCTCGCGGGCATGCTCGAGCGCGCGGTGCTCCCCGCGAGGAGCCCGGCGAAAGCGCCGGCGAAGGCTCCCGCGAAAACGCCCGCGCCGCCCAAGGCCCGGGGCTTCGGCTTCCTCTCGCGGCGGCGCACGTCCCTCACGGCCACGGCGTCGGGCTCCGTCGCCGTCGCGGCGCCCACGGCGCCGGCGGTCCCCACGAACGGCGCGGCGCCCGCGAAGCCGCCGCCCGCGAAGCCGCACCCCGGCGGCCGGCGCCACTCCCAGTTCTTCGCCGACGACGACGACGACGACTCGGGCGACGACGAGTCGGACGAGTCGGACGGCTCGGACGACTCGTCCGTCGGCCTCGACGCCGCGGGGGAGTCGCCCGACGACGACTCCGACGCTCGCGAGACGCCGACGCGGGCGCACGCGCCGGGCCTGCTCCGCGGCTTCAGCCGGGGCGCCGACTCGTCGTCGTCGTCCGACGACGACGCTCCGCCTCCGCCGGCCGCGGCGCCGCCGTCGCCGATCCTCCGCGTGCCGGGCTTCCTCCGCGGCCTCGCCGCGCCGCCGGCGCCGGAGCCGGCGCCGCCGGAGCCGGCGCCGCCGGAGCCGGCGCCGCGGGTCCACGCGCCCGGCATGCTCCGCGGCTTCGGCGCGCCGCCGGCGCCGGAGGGCGACGTCCTCGCGGCCTTCGCCGAGGCCGTCGGGCGCGACGCGGCGGACGCGCGCGCGTCCCTCGGCGGCCTCGAAGGCGTGCCGCCGAGCCGCGTCGCCGCGGCCGTTGCGCCGCTGGACCTCGCGGCGGCCTGGCTCGGCGGCGGCGCCGCGCCCGCGCCGCCGGACTGCGACCGGCTCCGCGCGGCCTGCCTCTACCTCCGCGGCGCGGGCCCCGCGCCGGCGCCGAGCCGCCGCCGGCCGCAGCGGAGGCGCTCGCCGCCGCCCTCGAGGACGCGGCGCTCGCCGCGGTGACGGCGAAGCTGGACAGAGCGCGAAAAGACATGGCCGCGGCCGTCGCGGCGCGCGCGTCGCGCGCGCGCGACCGCCTCGCGGCCGCCGTCGGCTCCGAGGCCGAGGCGCGGGCCCTCGCGGCGCTCGGCGGCTGGGTCGAGAAGCGGAGCCACGGCGTGCCCCTCTTCCAGCGGCGCTACGTCTCCGTGGAAGTCGATGGCGACGGGCCGGCGCTCGTCTGGCGGAAGCACCTCAAGGGCAAGGTGAAGGGCAGTTTCGCGCTGTCGCGCGACGTCGTCGCGGACGTCGTCGCGAGCGCGGCGCCCCTGCGCCGCGACGACGCGACGGGGCGCTACGACCGCGACGGGCCCGAGGACCGGGGCAAGACGAACGCGCTCTACCTGCGCCACGCGGCGTTCGTCGCGCCGCGTCCCGAGTCGCCGCGGCGCGGCTCCGCGGCGCGCGCGCGCGACGACGAGGCCTTCTTCCTCACGGACGACGAGTACCCCGACGCGGCGCCGAACGAGCTCCGCGTCGCCGTCGTCGGGGGCGAGGGCCTCGCCGCGCGCCGGGGCCGCTTCTCGTCCGCGGCGTCGACGCCGCCGGACCCCCGCGTGGCCCTCGCGCTCGAATCCGGCGGCCGCGCGGCCGCGGGCGGCCGGCGCCGCGCCGAGTCCGCGGTCGCCAAGGGGACGACGGCGCCGCGGTGGCGCGAGACCTTTTCGCTGCCGCTCGCGGCGCCGCTGCCAAGGGCGCTCGTCGCGACGTGCGAGGACTGGGACGATTTGGCCGCGCCGACGCCCATGGGCGCGCTGACCGTCGACCTCGCGCCCTTCCTGGGCCGGCCGACGCGCGCCGTCGTGCGCGGGGACCTCGCGGCGACGCGCAAGGCCGAGCGGAAGCGCAAGGGCCGCTTCGTCGCGGACGTCTCCGGCGAACTCACGCTCGTCGTCCAGTCGCGCTACAACCCGGACCGGCGCGCCAAGGACGCGGCGTCGGACCTGGAGCTGAATTTCCCGACGCTCGACGACCTGCTCCGCTGGGCCAACGGGCTCGCGGCGTTCCTGCGAGCGGCGAACGCGGACCCGGCCGACGCGATCCCGGACTACGGCCACGGGGGCGACCCGCCCCCGGCGCGCGTCGACGCGGCGCCCGCGGTCAAGGAGGAGACGGCCGCGGTGGAGGCGGAGACGCCCGCGGTCGAGGCGGCGGTCGAGGACGCGCCCGCGCCGTCGCCCCCGGAGCCGACGGCGGAGGAGCGCGAGCGGGAGGCGGAGGAGCTCCGGCGCCACTGCGACGCGCGCGTCGACCGCATGCTCGCGAGGCGGTCGGCGCACCCCGCCGACCTGCGATTCGATCACATCCCCGGCGTCACCGACCGGCCGCCGCCGGAGACGCCGCCGCCGCCGGAGACGCCGCCGCCGGAGACGCCGCGCCGGCGGCCGTCGTCGGTCGTCGTGTCGCCCGCGGCGGACCGGCCCGCCGAGCCGGACCGGCCCGCTGAGGCGCAGCCCGTGGCGGACGCCGCAGCGCCGCCGCCCGCCGCGCCCCTGGCCGGCTGGCTCGAGAAGCGGTCGCCCGCGGCGCACCGCTTCTACCAGAGGCGCTACTTCGTCCTCGACGCGCGGCCCGGCGGCGGCTGGGCGCTGGAGTGGCGGCGGTCGCCGGACGGCGCGCGGCTCAACGTGCTCCGCCTCGCCCCACCCGCGTACGTCGTCGTCACGGCCGCGTCGGCGCCCGTCGCCTGCACGGTCCACGGCGCCTACGCGGCCGCGGGGACCGTCGCCGCCGAAGACGTCGCGCGCGTCGTCGAGGGCGGCGCGGAGAACCTCTTCGTGCTGCGGCTCCCCGGGTCGCGCGACGTCGAGTTCCGCGCGGCGTCCGTCGACGAGCTGCTCTCTTGGGCGACGGCGCTCCAGGCCGCGCTCGGTCTAAAGACCGGTTGAATTTAGTGGCTTCGCAGGCGGCCGGGCCGGCGAGTCGTCCCTCCGCCGCGACGTAGACCTACTCTAGACCGCGGGCCAGTCGTCGCGGCCGAGGACGCCGAGGCGCGCGAGGAAGTCGCGGTTGCTCAGGCGCGTCCGCTTGTCGACGCCGGGGATCCTCGGGTCGACGACGACGAGGTCGGCGCCGCCCGCGAGCGGGAAGCGCCGCACGGCGTCGACGGTGTGGTGGTGGAACGCGGCGAGGAGCCCCGTCGGCGCGCAGGCGCGCGCGCCGAGATCGACGGGAAACGTCGGGCAGAATCGGCGGATGCGTTCGCAGGTGAGGTTGAGGCCCGCGGGATAGGCGCCGTCGCCGTAGCGCTTCTCGACGTAGACGGCCTCCCAGTACTCGTAGGATTCGTAGATGTCGCCGTCGTAGGGCACGCAGCCCGCGGCCGCCGCCGCCGAGAGGAGCGTGTGCCAGAGGCTGTACTGGTCCTTGAAGGAGCAGCGGTTCGCGAACCAGGTCGAGAAGAAGGCGAGCGAAAAGGGCGCGTCGCGCGCGTAGAAGTGGCTCGACTTGACGCGCCAGCACGGGAACGACGGGCCGAGCCGCTTCGACGACGGAAAGACGACGTCGAAGGCGCCGCGGTGCGCCGCCCGCAGGTCGTCCGGCGCGGACCAGGGCACCGGCGCGATGGCGTCGAGGTCGAGGAGCGCGACGCCGGCGACCGTCGGATGCCGGAGCGTCGCGAGCGCCGCGGGAACCTTGAGCATGTGGTTCGAGACGCGCGAGACGTCGACGCCCGTCGCGTTCCTCGCCGGCGACCGATTTTCGCCGTCGTAGAAGGACGCGGTGATGCCGAGGCGCCGCCGGGGCTGGCGGCTTTGGAAGAGCCGCATCGACCGGCTCGCGAGGCACTCGGGCGACGTCGCGCGGCCGAGCGACGGCGGAAGCTCGCCGATCCACAGGAAATTCCGGACGCCGACCTCCGTAAAGTAGAGGAGCCGGTTCAAAATCTGGGGCCAGAGGCGGAAGAGGTAGCGAGCGCTGTTCGTCGTCGCGAGGGACGCGAGGTCCGAGTCCACGCCGCCCGCGTACTCGCAGAGCACGGGCCGCTCGACGAAGCGCGCGTACGCCGCCTCGTCGCCCGCTTCGACGGTGAAGCGCGAACCGTCCGCGAGACGGAACGCGATCGCGGGAGGCGCCGCGGGCGAATCGTCGAGGCCGCGGCGAGCGATCGAGAAGACCTGCGAGGCTTCGGCGTCACCGCTTGTGTCGCTCCCCGGGACGCGGCGCCGCGAACGCATCCGACGTCGATGGGCCCGAAGTCGGCCATCCATTCGCAATGTGGTAGCTCGCCGCATCGTGCTGCACTCGGCGTTCGCCAGGCGTCCACGTAGGTTTGCATCTGTTGCGCGAGGTCATCTGTTGCCACAAACGTCACGAGCCACAAGGCGACGGGCCATCGCATGATGTTTTGTCTCACGCAAGGCGACGCCGTCGTCCGGCTCGATGTGGCTCGACGTGGGCTCGCCAAAGACGCCACGGCAAAACTTAGCCAGGGGGCCCGCGCCGACAGACCCGCGCGACGGCGGGCGGCGCAGGCCGATGTGTGAATTCACCTTGACATCGACATGGCCCGCTGACCTACCGACCGGCTTCTAGACTACGGGCCCGCAGCTCTGCAACGAGTTATTGAAGCTTCCGCAAACGGTCGGGCCGGCCCGTCTCGATAAGACGGCCTTGGTCGAAGACCTGCGAGGGCGCGGGCGTGGCGATACAGGCCCCGACAAAAACCGCGGGACACGAGGATGGACGAGCAGCACGTCTGAGTCCTGGACCGTCTGGAGGCGGTGCGCGACGACGATGACCGTGGACCCCGGGAAGGCCGTCTTGAGCGTCGTCTGGATGACGCGGTCCGTGTCCAAATCCACGTTCGCCGTCGCCTCGTCGATGGACACGATGCGCCGCTTGAGGAGGAGCGCGCGCGCGAGGCAGAGGAGCTGGCGCTCGCCCACGGACCAGTCGCCGCCGCCCTCGCCCACGGGCCGCCGGAGCACGTCGAGGGGGTCGTGCTTCGCCGTCAGCAGCCGCGCCTTGCGCAGCGCCGCGTAGCACGCGTCCTCGGACGCCTCGTCGAACGGGTCGAGGTTGAAGCGCGTCGTCCCGCTGAAGAGCGTCGGCTCCTGGGGGATGATGGCCATGGCCCGCCGGAGCACGTGGAGGGGCACGGACGCCGCGTCGACGCCGTCGACGAGCACGCGGCCCTCCGAGACCTCGTTGAGCCGCGGGATCGCGAGCAGGAACGAGCTCTTGCCGCTGCCCGTGCGCCCCACCACCCCGACCTTGGAGCCCGCGTCGAGCCGGACGTTCACCTGGGACAGCACGAGGGGCAGGTCGTGGCGGTAGCGGCAGGACACGTTCTCGAAGACGACGGCGCCCGTCCGCGGCCAGGGGTCGTCGTCGTCGTCGTTGAACGACCGCGGCCCGTCGCGGACCTCGCTGTCGAGGCCGTCGCGGTAGTGGGCCAGGCGCTCCACGGACGTCATGTAGGTCTCGGCGAGGGCGTGCTGGCGGATCATGTACTGGAAGTTGCCGCTGAGCTGGACGCCGTAGAGCAGCGCGAGCGCCAAAAGCTCCGGCGCGACGGACCGCCGCAGGAGCACGGCCAACACCACGACCGCGGCGAGGAACAGGGAGCAGAGGAAGTCGAGGTGGAAGCCCAGGTAGCGGTTGCAGATGAGCCACCAGTACCAGGCCCGCGCCGACGTCGCCAGCGCCGCGTCGAGCTCCTCCGCGGCGCGCTTGCCCGCGTGCGGGTAGGCCCTGGTCGTCACGAGCCCGTGCAGCGTCCCGGAGAACGCGGAGAACACGGGCGACTTGCACACGCCGTCCAGGCGCTTCAGCACCGTCATCGACGTGACGACCTCCGCCTTGACGGCCCGGAACGCGAGGTAGACCGCGGGCGCGACCGCGAGGACGAACGGCGCCGCGGCGACCGCGGCCGCGACCGCGCCGACCATCATGAGCCCGTACTGCGCGAAGTCGAAAAGAGCGACGGCGAGCTGCTCGTCGACCTGCGCGACGTCCGCGGAGAAGCGGTTCAGGATGCGGCCGACGGGGTTCGCGTGGAAGAACCAGAGCGGCGCGTCGAAGAGCGCGGCCAGCGCGCCTGGGCAGCAAAAGAGAGATTAAACGTCGCTTCGACGTGAGTGTTCCGCGCGCGCGCGTTCCGGAAAAAGCATCCACGCTTCGAGACCGTTCCGAGAGACGATCGCTCGTCCAAAAATCAGCCAAAACGAGTGGAAAACGGCCGAGAAAGGAGCCTTTGAAGTTGGGAATTTCGCTCTCTTTTGCTGCCCTGCAGCGCGCCGTCGTGGAGCCGCGTCGACGCGCGCGACGTGCTGCGGAAGAAGGCCACGGCCCCGACCAGGGACGCCGTCACGACCACCGCCGTCGCGGCGCCGTAGGACGCGACGTGCGTCGTCTCCCGCTGGTCGTCGCGGTCCGCCTCGGCCCAGCGCAGCACGGCGTAGTCCGCGGCCATGAGGGCGACCTGGGCGACGACGAAGAGCACCGCGACGCCCGCGACGGCCGGCGCGCCCGCGGCGCCCGCGTAGACGCGCCACGTCGACGTCCGCACGCGGCCCGCCCGCTGGTCCTCGGCGACGACCAAATCGGACGCCTCGTGCTTCGACGCGTGGCTGTCGACGCTGCCGTCGTCGTCGCCGGCCTCCTCGAGGGCGTCCGTGAGGCCGACGTCCGTGACGATCTCGATCTTGACGTCGCGGATGGTCCGGTACGCGGACGCCGGGCTCAGCTGCCCCACGCACGCGACCTGCGCGAGGTCGTCGTAGTCGCGGAGCGCGCCGGGCCCGGACCCGCAGGAGATCTGCTCCAGCGCGTCGCCGTCCAGCGCGACGCGGCCGTCGGGGCCGCAGGCGACGCCGCTGCACGTGTACGTGCCCCGCGCGAGCACGAGCGCGTCCTCGAGCGCCTGCGCCTCCGACGCGCGGCGCGACGCCTCGGGGTAGTGGTCCTGGGACCCGACGTAGAGCTCGTGGGCGTCGGGGCTCCGGCCGTTGGCGTTCAGGTAGACGACGCGGTCCGCGGACCCCAGGAGCTGCTTCTGGTGCGTCGCGAGGACGACGCCGCAACCGCACTCGACCGCGAGCCCCTTCAAGTTCGCGACGAGCGTGCGCTGCACCCTGGCGTCGACGGCGGCTAACACGTCGTCGAGCAAGACGACGACGGGCGGCGGCTGGCCGTAGGCGTTCTTCATGTGGAAACACGCGAAGCGCGCGACGTAGACCGCGCGCGCCAAGTTCACGCGCGCCATCTGCCCGCCGCTCAGGTTGACGCCGCGCTCGCCCAGCAGGGTCTGGTCGCCGCGGGGCAGCTGGTCCACGTCGAGCTCGAGGTCCGCCGCGCGCAGCGCGTCGACGTAGGCCCGCTCCTCGAAGCGCTCGCCGAAGAGCACGTTCTCGCGGAGCGTCGCGGCGAGGATCGTCGGCGTCTGGGGCGCGTAGGCGACGAGCGCGCCGGCCTTCGCCGTGGCCGTGCCGTGGACGAGGTCGAGCTCGCCGAGCAGCGCTTCGAGGAACGAGCTCTTGCCGCAGCCCACGGGCCCGGAGAGCATCAACACCTCGAAGCGGCGCACGTCGAGCGTCAGGTTCGACACCGCGGCGCTCTCGGGCGTCCAGTAGAGGTTCTGCGTCTCCCGGAGCCGCTCGTGCTCGAGCTCCGCCTCGAGCATCTCGAGGTCGTCGTCCGTGTCGCGCCGCGACCGCGTCCGGTTCTCGATCGTCGCCGCGATCTTCGAGTGCTCCGCGCGCGCGGCCTCCGACGGCCGCACGAAGGCCGCGTGGTCCAGGTGCACGAGGATGTTGATCTCGTCGCTGAAGTCGCCCTCGCCGCGCTTCCGCCGGTCGACCTCGCCCCAGGGCTTGCGCCGGTCGCCCGTCTCCGCGAGCGCGAAGCCGCCGCGGCGCCACCCGCTCTTGTGCACGACGACGCGGCACTTGAGGAAGGCCTCCATGCGCCGCACGGCCACGTAGGCCTCGGGGGCTAACGATGTGAAGCGCGCGAGGTGCTTGCCGACGATGAGGCGCAGCACGGCCAACGAGGCGACGACCGTCGACGCCGCGCCGACGGTGAGGCCTTCGTCTCGTCCGACGTTCGGCCCGAACACGTAGACCCCAAAGGTCGCGAGGCCCGCGAGCGCCGTCGTCGAGAAGAAGAGGGCGCTGTTCACGGCCTTCAACCGCTGCGACGCGTAGATCTCGACGGCCTCGAGCTTCCGCAGCCCGCCGACGACCCTGGCGAAGGGCCGCTCCCAGCAGCTCGCCTTCACGGCGACGACGCCGCCCAGGAGCTCGTTGACGAGGCGCACGCGCGCGTCCGTGCGCGCCGCCGCGCGCTTCCGCACGTGCTTGAGCTCGCCGCCGAGGCGGATCTGCACGGCGACGCTCGCCAACACGACGAAACACCCCGCGATCGCGGCGAGCGGCCCGACGGCCGCCGCGACCATGGCGACGACGGCGGCGACGGCGACGACGCTCAACACCGGCGCCCACAGGAACGTCGACACGGCGTCGAAGCGCATGACGTCCGACGCGACGAGCGAGACGACGTAGCCCGCGCCCAGGCGTCGCACCTCGGCCGACGACGCCTTCAGGAGCTTGTCGTGGAGCACGCGGATGACCTGCGTGGAAATGAAATCTTCAACCCGACTTCAATGTGCGCGTAATCGAACGGTTCGGACCAGCCTCTTCAACTGTGCTTCGAGAAATCGACAAAAGCAATCGATTCGTCCAAGAATCAGCCGAATCGACTTCGATTTGACCGAGCTAGAGCATTTCAAAGTTTGGTCGGGACGTCCCGAACCGGCGGTTGATTTCCGCGCGGCGGACGACGCCCATGCGCGCGTTCCAGCCGCCGCGCATGCCCACGTAGAAGGCGGCGTGGTGGCTCACGCCCTGGAGGAGGGACGTGAGCGCGAGCGCCGCGCCCAGGACGACGCCCTCGTAGGTCGGCCGGTGCGTCCGCGCGAGCCACTCGACGAGCGGACCGACGAGCGCGGCCTGGGCACAGCACAAGAGTGATTCAACGTCGCTTCAACGTGAGTGTTCCGCGCGCGCGCGTTACGAAAGAAAACATCCACGCTTCGAGACCGTTCCGAGAGATGATCGCTCGTCCAAAAATCAGCCGAAACGAGTGGAACGTGGCCGAGATCGGAGCCTTTGACGTCGGGAACGTCGCTCTCTCGTGCCGCCCCGAGCGCGGCCTGGGCGAAGAGGCAGCCGTACTCGAGGGCCATCCACCAGCCCAGGTCCGCGAGCTCCGGCGCGAAGCACGCGCCGAGCGCCCGCAGCAGGCTCGCGTCCTCCTCGGGCCGGTTCTCGTCCGCGCCCGCGTGCGCCTGGGCAGGAAAAGGGTGCGAAATTCCCAACTTCAAAGGCTCCTATCTCGGTCGTTTTCCGCTCGTTTTGGCTGATTTTTGGACGAGCGATCATCTCTCGGAGCGCTCTCGAAGCGTGGGTGCTGTTTCCGAAACGTGCGCGCGCGGGACACTCACGTTGAAGCGACGTTGAATCACCCTTTTCCTGCCCTGGCGTGCGCCGCGCGCGACCGGTCCTCGCGGCGCTTCCGCGCGCGCGCGACCTCGCGGCGCCAGGCGCGCGCGACGCGCTTGGCGACGACCGCCGGCTCGTCGCGGCAGGGCACGCTCGGCAGGTCGTCGGCCGACGGCTCCCGCCGGCTCCACGCGCAGAGCAGGGGCCGCACGAACCAGAAGCTCAGCCGCGCGAGGCCCGACGCCTCGTCCCAGGGGCTCGCCGTGCGCTGCGCCGCCTCCTCGAGGCTCAGCGACCGCTTGAAGAGCTCCGGCGAGTCGGCGCGCGCCTTCTCCCACTTGGTCTCCATGGGGCTGCTCGGCTGCCGCGGGCTGCCCGCGGGGCTGCCGCCGGTGTTTGAATTGTTTTGCTGCCTGGGGCTGCCCGCGGGGCTGCCGGCGGCGCTCATCGGTGTTGCTGCGGGTTACGGTCCGGCGACGATCAGCGCGCGACGGTCGCCGAGCCGAGCGTCCCGGAGAGCGCGCTCATCGTCGATTTTCGGGCTGCGCATCCATCCTCTCGCCCCGACCTACATGCAAAAACACCTGCACCGGATTTGGTTGACATCGCCAAGGTTTTGCGAGCATGTGCGCTGCCATTGAAACTGCTTACGATCTCTTCGAGGTCGAAGACCAGCCGTCGCGTTCTGCTGGCCGTGTGCAGCCGTGCCCGCAGCACCCAGCAGCAGCAGCAGAGCAGCACCCAGCAGCAGCAGCACCCATGCTCGCCTGCGCTGCCGCCCGCTGCGCGAGCCGCGCCGCGGCGCGCGCGCCGCGGCGGAGCTTCGCGTCCAAGTCCAAGGCGCCGCCGGGCGCGCGGCCGGAGCCCGTCGCGCCGCCGCCCGCGCCGTCGCCCGAGGCGTCGACGGCGACGAAGCTCGCGCGCCTCGGCGCCTACGTCGGCGTCGTCGGCGGCGGCTACGCGCTGCTCGTCGCCAACGGGCTGCTGCCCGCGCCGCTCGCGGCCGACGAGCCGGAGGCTCTCGACGCCGCGCCGCCGCAGGCGGACGTCACGGAGCGCGTCTTCATGGACGTGGCCGTCGGCGACGCCCCGCCGCGGCGCGTCGTCTTCGGCCTCTACGGGTCCGTCGCGCCGCGGACGGCCGAGAACTTTGCGGAATTGTGCGGGTCCTCGAACGCGGTGCTGGGCTACCGCAACTCCAAGTTCCACCGCGTCATCCCCAAGTTCATGATCCAGGGCGGCGACTTCACGCGCGGCGACGGCACGGGCGGCACGTCCATCTACGGCGGCACGTTCCCCGACGAGAACTTCGACCTGCGCCACGCGGGCGCGGGGACGCTGTCGATGGCGAACCGGGGCCCGGACACGAACAGCAGCCAGTTCTTCGTCACGCTCCGGGCGACGCCCCACCTCGACGGCAAGCACGTCGTCTTCGGCTGCGTCGTCGACGGCTTCGACGCGGTCAGGGCCGTCGAGGCCGCGGGCTCGCGGACGGGCCGCGTCGCCGCCTGTGCCGAAACCAAATCTTCAACCCGACTTCAATGTGAGCGTATTCGAATGTGTTGACACAAGCTCTTCGGCTGGGCTTCGAGAACTCGACGAGAGCGATCGATCCGTCCAAAAATCAGCCGAATCGACTTCGATTTGACCGAGCTAGAGAATTCTCAAGTTTGGTCAGGACCACCCAAACCAGTGGTTGAATTCGGCACAGGTCGCCGCGCCGGTCCGCGTCCTCGACTGCGGCCGCCTGCCCCGGACGCGCGCGGAGGCCGAGGCCGTCGGCCGCTCCACGTACGGCGCGTCCGTGCCGGGCCTCGTCGAGGTCCACCGGACCGTGACGTCGGAGCGGCCCCTCGTGACCCGGTCCGCGTCGCCCCTCGCCGGCCGGTAGGCCGCCGCCGCGCGTTCCCCCGCGACGCCACACCCGCGGGTGTTAAAACGCCATGGTCACGCGGTCGTCGGCCTTGAGCGCGGCGACGACGGCGGCGACCATCTCGGGGCTCAGCACCGTCGTGTCGAGCTTCACGGACGCGAATTTCCCGCCGAGGCGCGGCGTGACCGCGTACTCGACGAACGCGCCGTCGCAGGCCGCGGACACGGTGCGCACGAGGCCGTCGGCGAGGTCGCGGTAGTCGCCGGGCGTTTTCGGCTTGCCGACGGCCGTGAAGGAGTAGGGCGCGGGGTACGCGTCGACGAGCGCTCCCAGCAGCTTCGACTCCTCCTCCGTGTCCGCGGCCGCCTCGGCCGGGTCGTACTCGCCGCGCAGCGCGCGCGCGGCCATGACGAAGCGGTCCGTCAGCGCGCCCGAGTTCGCCACGGGGTCCCGGTGCTTCGGCGGCGGCGCGGCCGCGTCGACGGGCCGGGAGCCCTCGAGGGCCTTGCGCGCGCTGCCCTCGGCGATGATGCGCTCGAGGAGCTCGTCCTCGCTCTCGTCGTCCGCGGTTTGTGCTCGCGGTGCGACCCGCCGCCGCAGTGACGGCGGCGCGAAGGCGTCGAGGCGCAGGAACGCCATCGTAAGGAGGATCGACCTCGTCATCATCGTCTCTCTCTTGGTAAACAAGGCTTCAATCTTAATGTGTTGCCGTTCAACATACCCATTTATCGGACCCCAGCAGCCGCGGCACGCACACGAGGAACACGGTCTGGAAGGACGCCTGGCCCATGCGCGGCACCACGCCGGCGAAGAGCGCGCCGGGCCCGCGCGCGGGATCCGACGCGATGTCCCACAGCGTCCGCAGCGCGTTCGACGGTTTCTCGCCCTCGACGGCCTGGCACTGGGCCTCGATGCGCGCGATGTCGAAGGGCGTGTTCCAGCAGGATAAGCAGCCGCCGACGATCGCCGCGAGGACCTCGCCGCGGCGGCTTGCGGGGCACAGCGGCCGCACGAGCTCCGTGAGGCCCTGCCTACTCGCCCAGTTCGTCGCCTGGCGCAGCGCGATGGCGCCGCTGCCCGTGTAGAGCTCGAGGAAGCCGCCGCGGTCGAGCGTCTCCCGCAGCGTCTGCGCCACGGTGCCGCCCGTCGCCGTCGTCCGCGTCACGAGCAACGCGCACGGGCCCATCGTGATCGCCTGCGCGGCGCCGCCGCACGCGCCCGCGGCGAAGGCGACGGCCGTCGCGGGCAGGCCCGCGCGGAAGCCGAGCGCGCGGATCGAATCCTTCGCGGCGAGGAGCACGGAGCCGCTGAACAGGCCGTCCGCGAGGCGCGCGGGCAGGCCCGACCACAGAGCGAGGACGCCTCTCGCGGACACGAGGTCCGCGAGGACGCGCAGGTCGTCGCGGCGCTCGTGCCGCGCCTTGCGCGACTCGAGCACGACGTTGCTCTTCCAGACCTCAAAGGGCAGGCCGCCGGCGACGTCCGCGGAGCACTTGAGCGCCGCGCCGCGCGCGAGGTTTTTCGCGAGGGGCGGCAATGCGGTTGTGCGTGTGAATGCGCTCGCGACGAGTGCGACGCGCGCGATTTGCGGCAGCGCCGTTGCAGGCGCGATGCAGAGCGCAGCGATGCACGCAATTCGCGTCGCAAAACAGCGCGTAAAACAGCGCGTACGTGCGCCCATCGTGCTTGAGCGCAGTGGTTGCAGTCGAAGGTGAATGCTCGCTGTCGCGCTTTTGCCACAGAGAGCTCGAGCATGGAGGCGGCGCAAGCCACGACCCGACCTTCAAAGAAGCGCGGACGCGACGAATCGTCGCAGAAGAAGCTGAAGCGCGGCGGAAAGAAGAAGAAGCAGAAGCAGAAGCAGGCAGCCGCGCAGCCACAACAACAACAGGCGCAGGCGGCATCGAAACCCCAACCACAACAACAGACGCAAAAACAGACGAAAAAGAAGGTCGGCAAGATGAGCGGCGCCTGGGCCGACGCGACGGCGCGCCACCCCTTCGTCGTCACGGCCGTGAGCGACCACGCGGAGACGCCCGCCGCCGCCTACGAGGACCTGCGGCCGTTCCTCGAGGCCGTCGGCGATGCTCCGACGATCTACGATCCCTACTACGCGGACGGCGGCGTCGCGCGGCGCCTCGGCGCGCTCGGCTTCGCGAACGTCATCAACCGCAACCGCGACTTCTACGAGGACCTGCGGACCGGGAACCTGCCGTCCCACGACGCGCTCGTCACGAACCCGCCCTACAGCGCGGACCACGTCGAGCGCCTGGTCGCGCACGTCTCCGAGACGCGCGAGCCCTTCGCGCTGCTCGTGCCGACCTACGTCCTCGGCCGCGCGTACTGGCGCGCCGCGGCGGCGCGACTCGACCCCGCGCCGTTCTACGTCTGCCCGCACAGGCGCTACGGCTACCTGCCGCCGGCCTGGGCGCGCCGGGACGCGTCCGCGCCGGAGACGACGGCGCCGTTCCACACGGCCTGGTTCTGCTGGCTGCCCCGCGCGCGGCCGGCCTTCTCGGCCCGCGTCGACGTCTTCGACGCCGTCGAGGCCGTCGCGGCGCAGTACCGCGACGTCACGGACCCGCTCAAGAAGCGGCCGAACCCCAAGGCCCGGAAGCGCGCGCGCGAGCTCCAGCGCGCCAAGGCCGCGGCCTATTAGGACCAGTTCGGCGGGAGGAGGCGCCCCCCCTCCGCGCGCGGGTAGACGGCGGCGTCCGACGCCGCGAGGAGCGCCTCGAGCCGCGCGTTCGCGGGCGCGTACCACGCGTCCAGCAGCGCCGTCGTCTCCGGCGCGAGGGGCTCGGCCGCGTGGCGCCGCACCATGAGGTAGTTGTGCCGCGCGTACAGGTCCTTGAAGTAGCCGAACAACCCCGGCTCGCGGAGCCGCTCCATGCCCAGCGCGTCCTCGAACGTCGCGAGCGCGGAAAAGTCGAACGGTTCCAAACCTAGCCACGCGACGACGAAGTCGAGCGTCTTCGTCGTCTGCTTCATGGCCGTCTCCGAGAGGATGACGAGCAGCTGGTCGTCCGCGAAGCCCAGGTTCCGCACGACGGCGAGCTGCTCCGCGTAGAGGCCTGCGTGGACATCAACCAGTGGAACGCCCTGTCCAGCAAAAACTTCAAACCTCTCTATCTCGATCAAATCGAAGTCGATTCGGCTGATTTTTGGACGGATCGATCGCTCTCGTCGAGTTCTCGAAGCCCAGCCGAAGAGCTTGCGTCGAAACGGTCGCATATGCGCACATTGAAGTCGGGTTGAAGATTTGATTTCCACACAGGTAGAGGCCCCAGGAGAGCACGCGGCTCGCGCCGTTCGTCCCGACGGCCGCGCCGCCGTCCGAGCCGGCGACGACGAAGGCGTGGAAGTCGTCCGGCGCGCAGGGCGCTTGTAGTGGTGTCGCACCGTCGAGCTGCGCCGCCGTCGCTTCCAAAGAGAGGAGCGGCGCGCCCGCGTCCGCGGGTCGGAAGAACCGGCCCTTGCGGCAGTGGTGCTGGTAGGCGCTGTAGGCGCGGCCCGTCGGCGCCCGCAGCATGAAGACGAGCCTGACCGACGGCAGTAAACGGCGCAGCGACGCCATGGCCGTCGCGTTGGGCAGGTAGTCGGGCGTCTTCTCGTACGCGTACGTGCTCAGGTCGTCGGTGCGGAACTCGTCGAGGTACCGCCCGCGCCAGGTCGCCTCGAGCTCGCCGGCGCCGAGCTTGTCGAAGTAGTGCACCTCCTTGCCGCCGCCCTGGGCGAGCTGCGGGTGCCGCGCGAGCCACTGGCGGAGCCAGCCCGTCGCGGCCTTTTGCGCTCCCGCGACGACGAACGACGGCAGGCAGCGGAGCCGCCGCTCGCCGAAGCAGTAGCCCGCGTCGACGGCGTCGACGGCGGCGGCGCAGGGGTCGCCGGCGAGCACGGGCCGCCCGCCGGCGACGACGACGCCGCGCCGCTGCAGGTTCGCGGGCCGCGCCGCGGGGCAGCGGCCCAGGTCGCGCGCCGGCGCGCTCCGGTCGACGCGCGGCGGCGACAGGTCGCTGACCAAAGCGACGTAGGCGACGACGAGAATGCTCGCGACGCCGCAGGCCACCGTCCGCGGGCGCAGGCGTCGCTGCGTCGTGCGCGAGGCGCCCATGCCTCTTGCCACAGCAGGTCAGCGCAGCGATGTGGCGGATCGCGGCGCTCCTGCTGGCCGTCGCGCGGCCCGCCGATGGCTTTCGCCATACAGGCGCTCGCACTACGACACACCTGCGCGCCGCGGAAACGGCGGAAACCGCGGAAGCCGACGCGCCGCCGAAACTCACGCCCTTACCCAGCGGCATCAACACCTACGAGGTGAGCGCCGGCGTGCGGTCGCGGCCGCTCGAGGCGCTGCAGCCCGTCGCGCTCAGGGCCGTCGAGGCGGCCCGGGCCGCCGGCGTGCGCGTCGGCGAGGTCGAGTTCCCGCCGCTCTTGGGGGAGAAGACGCAGTTCGACGACGTCGACAACGTGCAGATCCTCGACGCGAACCGCGACTGGGCCATGCGATGCCTTCAGCCCCTGGCCGGCGATCTCAAGGCGGCGCTCTGGCTCGCCTTCCCGGACCGCAAGGAGCTCGAACTCGCGCGGGCGGAGTGGCCCGGCGCGGCCTACTCGGCGGCGACGCTGACGACGCTCGAGGACGCCGCGGACTGCCTGAGCGGCGCGAGCGACCAGGCCTGGGGCGCGGCCTTCGCGCGCAAGGCCGAGGCGCTCGTCGGGTCGTCGCAGCTCGGCGCGAAGCCCGACACGGCGTCCGCGCCGCCGCCGGCGGTCGTCTTCGCGGTGCAGCCGGGCGACGGCGGGCCGCTCGAGGACTGGCTGAACCTGGAGCGGTGCCAGGCCGACGGCTCGCTCCTCGTGAGCCTGAACGGCGCCTTCGACAAGCTCAAGGGCGGCGCCTACCCCCGGCTCCTCTTCCCGAAGCTCGCGGACGCCGTCGACCGCTTCGTGCTGGACGCGGAGACCCTCGTCTACCTCAAGCCCATCGGCGACAAGGGCAAGGCGGGCTGGCTCTGGCGCGTCTACCCCGAGCCCTGGCAGCTCGTCGCCCAGGGCCGCACGTCCGACGCGACCGTCGCGACCTACGACGCGCGGCCCGCGTACAAGGACGCCATCGCCGCGCTCCTCGCCGCGCCCGCGCCGCCCTAATGAAGACCACCGGTTTAACGCCGCGCGAGGCCCCGGAGGTGGCCGCGGACGACGGCCTCCTTGTCCGGCGAGAGGCCGAGCTCGCCGAACTCGCCGTCCGTGAGGTAGTCCATGTCCGTCAGGGTCTTGGCGCCGAGGCGCTCGAGCTTGTCCGCCATGGGGCCCGCGCTGATGTTGAGCTTGCGCGACAGGTCCGCCAGGACCGTCCGCAGCGGCGGGTCCTCGGGGCGGAACTCGACGGGCGACAGGCCCTGCGCGCGCCGCGCGGGCGCCGCCTTGGGCGACGGGAGCAGCGCCGCGGCGGCGCAGAGCGCGCCGCCGACGACGTGCGCGCCGAAGCGCTCGAGCGGCGTCGACGGGCGCCGCGACGACTCGAGCGGCCGCCTCGGCGTCTGCCGCCGGGGCGACTTGGGCGTTCGCCGCTGGGGGGATGTCGGCCGTCGCTGCGACTTGGGCGTGTGCTGCTGCGTTGATTTGCGACTCGAGGCCGTCGAGCAGCCGTCGTCGTCCGCGGCGCTCTCGTCGTCGCTCAGGCCGCAGCGCAGCGGCGAGAAGGGGCTGCCGCGCCCGACCTCCAGCGCGACGGTGCGCTCGTAGACGTCGTCCCCCGGGACCGGCGCGCGCGGGCTCCCGGGGCCGACCTCCAGCGCGATGGTCCGGTCGTAGTGATCCTCGATCGACGACGAAACAGGCGAACAGGGCAGCGCCATCCCGTTGTTCGCGCTTCGGTGCACTGCAACGTTGTCGCGGTCGCCTCGGTTTTCGACAAGTTTCCAAACCTGTCTTGATCACGATCTCTCGCCCCCGTCTCCTCCCTCTTTCACCGCTTCTGGCTCCTCCTTGTCTCGACTCCAATCGTCGGGACCGCCCCTGATCTTCGCGGCGTCTCCAACGGCCTCGAATTCGCCGAGATCGATCGTCTCGATCACTCCTACGCCCCTCGAGCGCTCCGGCGATGGCCTCGGACGCGCCCGCCCCCCCGAAGCTCAAGCGCGGGAGCGACGATGCGTCGACCATGGGGGAACAACTCAACAAGTTCTTCGACTTCTTCGGGGAGCCGCGCTCGCCCGCGCCGGAGGCCGAGCCGCTGCTCGGCCGCGCCGAGAGCGGCATGGACGACTGCTGCGGCCTCCCCGTCAAACCCGCGTGCCTCGGCTTCGACACGGTCGACCTCGTCGTGCGGCCGCTCGCGACGGCCGCGATCAACTACGGCTTCGTGTACCTCTACGACTACGCGCGCGATTCGTGCACGAGCTTCGGCGAGACCATGTACGTCGTCCTGGCCGTGACGCTCGAGGTCGCGGGCCTCTCGGCGGTCTGGTATAACGTCGCATCCGCGTTCCCGCCGACGCTGACGTGGATCAACCGCGCGCAGTCGTCGGCGACGCGGCCGCGCTACGCGCGCGAATTCTGGAGCCTGCTCTTCCTCATGCTCTACCTCCTGAGCGTGCTGTCCTTCGCGCTCGTCGCCTACGTCGTCACGGTCTTCTACGTCGCGAGCGACTCGGAGGCCGCCGCGAAGGACCTGTTCAAGTCCGACTGCTGATAAAATTAGGGCAGCTGGGCGACGGTCCCGCCCTCGAGGGTCACGTGGATCGCCTGGGTCTCCTTGAGGTCCATGTCGAGCAGGGCGTCCTTCGTCTCCTCGTCGCAGCCCGCGGCGACGGCGACCTTGTAGGCGATGGCGTTGAGGAAGACCGCGTGGCCGAAGACGGCGACGCCGCCGCCGCCGCCGTCGACGGCCGCCGTCACGGCCGCGAGCTCGCCGCAGACGTCGTCCGCGTAGGCGAGGAAGGCCTCCTCGCCGCCCGGCGCGTCGAAGAAGCCGCGGAGCGGGCCGTAGCCCATGCCGTCGAAGAGCGCCTCGCAGGGCTCGCTCATGCCCGCGGGGTGCACGCCCGCGACGACGCGCAGGTAGACGGCGTCGCGCTTGCTCTCGGCCGTCTCCGTCGCCGCCGTCATGCGCACGGCCGTGTCCGCCGCGCGGCGCGCGGGCGAGCTCAGCGCCGCGCGCACGTCGAGCTGGGAGAACCAGGCGCTCGCGTCGTTGCACTGCGCGCGGCCGAACTCCGTGAGGACCCGCATCTGGTCGTCCTCCTTCCAATCGTGCGGCTTGTCCGCGCGGCTCGCGGCGCCCTCGCGCAGGGGCGCGGCGTTGGCGTGGCGCACGAAGACGACGAAGAGGATGCGCTTGCGCCGGCAGAGCTCGACGAACTCCAACGCTGCGCCCGCCGGCATGCTCGTGCGCGAGGGGCAGCCCTTTCGAACCGACGGCAGCGACGCGCTCCGACTCGACGAGCGGCGCTGAGCTCAGAGGGGCAGCACGCGGTGCCGAAGGAATGGTACTACAGCGAGAGAACTCACGCACGGAGCCGGAGATGAAGCTCGAGCGTATCCAGCATCACCATGGAATCATCGAAGTTCCCCGGGCTGCCCGATCGACGCGCGCGATGGGCGCGACGGACTCGAAGCCCGCGGCCGTCGGCCTCGGGCGGCCCAACTCGGACCCGGACGCGACGACGCCCCTGCTCGGGCCGGACGGCGACGTGCTGGGCATGGACTCCTGCTGCTACCTCTTTCCCGTGAAGCCCGTCGCCTTCGGCTTCGACACGGCCGACTGCGTGGCGCGGCCGATTTTCACGCTCCTCATCCAGTACTGCGTCCAGTACCTGGTGGACTACTACCACGACGCGTGCACGAAGGCCGGAAAGGGGCTGTTCGCGGTGCTCCTGCTCACGCTCGAGGCCGCCGGGCTCCTCGCGATCTGGTACAACGCGGACGCGTCCGCGGCCTTCCCCCCGACGCTGACCTGGATCAACCGCTTCCAGACGCTCTCGGGCCGGCCCCGGGGCATCCGCGAGTTCTGGAGCTTCCTGTTCCTCTGCCTCTATCTGATGGTGCTCATGCTCCTCGTGATCATCGCCTACGCGTGCGCCATCTACTACTTCCAGAACGAGGGCGTCGACCTCTTCGACTTCGATTGTTAAGATTCGGGTGGACGACGCGCGTGGGTAGGGCGCGTGGGGGCGTTCGCGGGGCTCGCGGAGGGTCGCGCGCGGCCGGCGGCCGCCCGCCTCGCGGCCCGCGCCCGACCCGGAAGGCCCGCGCCGATCGACGCGGCGAGATCCACTGGCACCTAGCTCGGCGCGGGGGCCGCGCGGGGGCCCGGTCGGGCGGGGAGGACGCGCGCGGCGGGAGCGGCGCCGGCGGGCGCCGGCGCGCCGCGCGCGCGCGCGGGGCGGCGGCCCTATGCGCCTACTTGGCCAGCGCCTTGTCGATGGCGTCGCAGACCACCGGGAAGACGTCCGTGGGCTTCCTGTTGCCGTCGACGACGACGAGCTTCTCCGTGTAGGAGCCGGAGACGGCGGACATGTTCTTGTGGTACTGCGCGATGCGGTTCGTCATCTTCTCGACGGTGTCGTCGGAGCGGATGATGAGGCGCTTCTCGATCTCCTCCGTCGGGGCCTTCTTGTACTTGATGTGGTAGATCTGGCGCGTGACGGGGTCCTGTCGTCGGCCGCACGCGCGCTCCATCATGACCTCGTCGGGCACGTCGAGGCGGAGGAAGAGGTTGGGCACGAGGCCCATGGTCTCGAGGGCGTCGCACTGGGCCTTGGTGCGCGGCATGCCGTCGAGGAGCCAGCCGTTGGTCTTGGCCTCGCTCGTCTCCATCTCCGCCTTGCAGATGCCGATGACGAGGCTGTCCGGCACGAGGTCGCCGCGCTCCATGTAGGCCTTGGCCTCCTTGCCGAGGTCCGTGCCCGTCTTCACGTGGTGCCGCAGCGCGTCGCCCGTCGAGATGTGCTTGACGCCGTACTTGGTCACGAGCAGGTCGCACTGCGTGCCCTTGCCGCTGCCGGGGCCGCCGGAGATGATCATCTTCAGGGCATCCTTCTTCGGCTGCGTGTACTGGTACACGCCGTAGGCCGCGCCGCCCGCGAGGAGCGCGCCGGCGCCCGCCTTGAGCATGCTTGCGTGTGGGTGCGGTGGGCGGAGCGGTGCGACGCGACGCGACTCGCGATTGCTTCGAGACGTGGAGGGCTCGAGCTGGATCGACGGCATCGCTGGCCTCGGCGACCGACGCGATTGGCTGCTGCGGCGGGACTGCGGCGTCGGCGTCGAACACGCGTGCGGACGGGTGAGGGTCGTTGCGCAGTACGGGCGTGTTGTGGATCGACGCGTCGTCGGCTCCGCGGACCTCGTCGTCGTCCTTGGCCGCGCGGCGCGCGCTCGAGACCCAGACCTGATTTGCGACGTCGCCGCCTGCCCTCGCGAGGCTCGTCGACCTCTCTTCTGTCATCGTTTGTCCGCGTCTTTGTCCTCGTCGAGCAGCTCTTCGATACGGCAAATTTTAGTTCAACAAAAAAAACACGGTTGCAATTTGGCACTCGAGCGCCTGCCGAGGTGTAGCTCTGCGCGTCGTCGAGTCCCCGGCACGCGAGGAGCTCGAAGACCATGGCCGCTCTCGCACACCGCAGCGTCCACGCGAACACGCGCACGACGCCCTCGCACGCGCGCGCCGGAAAAAACGCGCTGCTGCGCGGCGCGGGCCCGCGGATTCGCGAGCGCCGAGCGCGCGAAACGTTCCGAGGCGCCTCGCCGCCCGCCGGGGCGCCCCTGCGCGCGTTGACCAGCCACACCCACTCCCAAAGCCCCGCGCGCGCCCGCCCGAGCCCGAGCCCGACCCGCGCCGCAGATGGAGACGACGAACGCGGCGCCGAAGAAGGCGCCGGGCAAGAAGTCGAAGACCATCGAGGAGACGTACCAGAAGAAGACGCAGCTCGAGCACATCCTGCTGCGCCCCGACACCTACAGCGCGCCCGCGGCGCCCGAGACCGCGCGACGTCCCCGACGCGGCTCCCCCCGCGCGCGCAGTCGGGTCCATCGAGATGAGCACGCAGCCGATGTGGGTGCTCAACCCCGACACGAAGCGCATCGTGCGGCGCAACGTGACCTACGCGCGCCGCGGCGTCCCTCTCGTATCGGAAACCGACGCGCCCACGCGACCCTCCAACCAGGTGCCCGGCCTCTTCAAGATCTTCGACGAGATCATGGTCAACGCGGCCGACAACAAGCAGCGCGACCCGTCGATGACGACGATCAAGGTCGACATCGACGTGGCGGCCAACTCCATCTCCGTGGGCAACGACGGCAAGGGCATCCCCGTGGAGATGCACGGCGAGCACGGCTGCTACGTGCCCGAGCTCATCTTCGGCCACCTGCTCACGGGGTCGAACTTCGACGACAACGAGAAGAAGACGACGGGCGGCCGCAACGGCTACGGCGCCAAGCTCGCGAACATCTTCTCGAAAAAGTTCACGGTCGAGACGGCGGACTCCAAGTCCGGCCGCAAGCTGTCCCAGACCTGGGAGCACAACATGTCCGGCACGCAGGGCCCCGCGAAGATCTCGCCGCACAAGAACAAGAAGGACTTCACGCGCGTGACCTTCGAGCCGGACCTCGCGCGCTTCAAGATGGACCGGTTGGACGACGACATCGTCGCGCTCCTCTCGAAGCGCGCCTACGACGTCGCGGCCTCCGCGTCCTGCCACGGCTCGTCCCTCAAGGTCGAGCTCAACGGCGAGCGCGTGCCCGTGAAGTCGTTCGCGCAGTACGTCGCGCTCCACGACGGCCTCGAGCCCCCGGCGGCCCTCGAGCGGGTCGACGACCGCTGGACCGTCGGCGTCGCGCCCTCCGACGGCACCTTCCAGCACCTCTCCTTCGTCAACTCCATCTGCACGTCCAAGGGCGGCAGCCACGTCAACTACGTCGCGGACCAGATCACGGCCAAGCTCGCGGCGGCCGTCAAGAAGAAGAACAAGGGCCAGGAGGTCAAGCCCGCCTTCATCAAGGCCCACCTCTGCGTCTACGTCGACGCCATGATCGTCAACCCGGCCTTCGACTCGCAGACCAAGGAGACGCTCACGACGAAGGAGAAGGCCTTCGGCTCCAAGTGCGTCCTGCCGGACAAGTTCCTCAAGGCCATCGAGAAGTCCGGCGTCGTCGACCGCGTCCTCGCCTGGACCAAGTTCAAGCAGGACGAGCAGCTCAAGCGCAAGGGCGGCTCGAAGAAGACGCGGCTCACGGGCATCACGAAGTTGGACGACGCGAACGCCGCGGGCGGCGCGCGCGGCAAGGACTGCACGCTCATCCTCACGGAGGGCGACTCCGCCAAGGCGCTCGCCGTGTCGGGCCTCGGCGTCGTCGGCCGCGACCTCTACGGCGTCTTCCCGCTCAAGGGCAAGCCGCTCAACGTCCGCGAGGCGAGCCACGCGGCGATCATGAAGAACGAGGAGGTGCAGAACGTCGTCAAGATCCTGGGCCTGCGCTTCGGCGTGACCTACGACGAGGCGAACCTCAAGACGCTCCGCTACGGCCACCTCATGATCATGACGGACCAGGACCACGACGGGTCCCACATCAAGGGCCTGCTCATCAACTGCCTCCACCACTTCTGGCCGTCGCTGCTCCAGATCCCGGGCTTCCTGCGCTGCTTCATCACGCCCATCGTCAAGGCGACGCCGGCGGCGAAGTCGAAGCCCGCGGAGGTCTTCTTCACGCTGCCCGAGTACGAGGCCTGGAAGGAGGCGCGCGGCGGCCTCCACGGCCACGCGATCAAGTACTACAAGGGGCTGGGCACGTCGACGGCCAAGGAGGCCAAGGAGTACTTCGGGGAGCTCGACACGCACCAGCTCGACTACGCGACGCTCGACGAATCCGCGCGCGAGGGCGACCTCATCGACATGGCGTTCTCGAAGAAGCGCGTCGAGGACCGCAAGACCTGGCTGCGCAACCTCGAGCCGGGGACCTTCGTCGACTACGCCGTCGACGCCATGTCCTACGGCGACTTCGTGAACAAGGAGCTCATCCTCTTCTCCGTCGCGGACAACCAGCGGTCGATCCCGTCCGTCGTCGACGGGCTGAAGCCGTCGCAGCGCAAGGTGCTCTTCGCCTGCTTCAAGCGCAAGCTCAAGAAGGAGATCAAGGTCGCCCAGCTCGCGGGCTACGTGTCGGAGCACGCGGCCTACCACCACGGCGAGATGAGCCTCACGGGCACGATCGTCGGCATGGCGCAGGACTTTGTGGGCTCGAACAACGTGAACCTGCTGACGCCCGCGGGCCAGTTCGGCACGCGCATCATGGGCGGCAAGGACGCCGCGAGCTCGCGCTACATCTTCACGAAGCTCGAGGCCGTCGCGCGCAAGGTCTTCCACCCGGACGACGACTTCGTCCTCGACTACCTCGAGGACGACGGCCAGTCCATCGAGCCGACGTACTACGTGCCCGTCCTGCCCTTCGCGCTCTGCAACGGCGCCGACGGCATCGGCACGGGCTGGGCGACGTCCGTGCCCAACTACGCGCCGCGCGCGCTCATCGGCGTGCTCCGGCGCATGATCGACGCCGTCGGCGACGACGTCGACGACGACGTCGGCCCGCTCGCGGACTGCGCCGCGGAGGACGTGGGCGCGGCGGACCTCGCGCCCCACTACCGGGGCTTCGGCGGCGACATCGTGGCCAAGGGCGGCAAGAACGCGGGCGCCTTCGCGGTCCTCGGCCGCGCGACGCGGCTCGACGACGTCACCGTGCTCGTCGACGAGCTGCCCGTGCCAGGGCAGGACAAGGGTGATTCAACGTCGCTTCAACGTGAGTGTTCCGCGCGCGCGCGTTCCGGAAAAAGCATCCACGCTTCGAGACCGTTCCGAGAGATGATCGCTCGTCCAAAAATCAGCCGAAACGAGTGGAAAATGGCCGAGATCGGAGCCTTTGAAGTTGGGAATTTCGCACTCTTGTCCTGCCCAGGCCCGTGCGCAAGTGGACGCACGACTACAAGCAGTGGCTCGAAGTCCAGCTCAGCGGCGACGACAAGACCAAGGCCTGGGTCAAGGACTTCAAGGAGAACCACACGGACACGCGCGTGTCGTTCACGGTGACGGTGACCAAGGGCGAGGATTTGGACGACGCGGAGGCGGCGCTCGGCGGTCTGGAGAAGAAGTTCAAGCTCGAGGGGTCCCTGGCGACGTCGAACATGAACTTCTTCGACGACACGGGCCTGGTCATCGACAAGTACGACGCGCCCTTCGACGTCATCAAGGCCTTCTACAAGGTGCGGGTGGCGACGTACGCGAAGCGGAAGGCGCACCTCGTCAAGGCGAAGCGCGCGCGCGTGAGCCTGCTGCGCAACAAGGTGCGCTTCGTCCTCTCCGTGCTCAGCGGCGACCTCGTGGTGCAGAACCGCAAGCGCGCGGAGCTGCTGGCCCAGCTCGTGGACGACGGCTACGACGCCGTGTATAACGCCGCGGCGAAGAAGAAGACGCCGGCGAAGGCCGACGACGACGGCGACGCGTCGGGCTCCGACGGCGACGACGACGGCGCTGGCGCCGCGGCGGGCAGCTCGGACGCCCAGCTCGCCAAGGGCTACGACTACCTCCTGTCCATGAAGATCTGGAGCCTGACCATGGAGCGCGTCGACGCGCTCCGCGCCGAGCTCAAGGACGAGGACGCGGAGCTCGTCGCGCTCGTCGCCAAGCCCGAGACGGCCATCTGGCTCGACGACCTCGCGGACCTCGAGGCCGAGCTCGACGACCGCGACGCCGCCCGCGACGCGGAGGAGGCCGACGCGGCGAAGAAGGCCAAGGCGTGCCAGAAGAAGAAGCCGGCGAAGAAGCCAAAGAAGAACGCGCGCAAGAAGCAGGCCTACGACTCCGACGACTCCGACGCCATGGCCTTCTCCTCCGACGAGGACGACTCCGACTTCGAGGCCAAGCCCAAGAAGAAGGCCGCGCCGAAGAAGGCCGCGCCGAAGCCGCCCGCGCCCGCGCCCGCCGCGCCCGCGCCCGCGCCCGCCGCGCCCGCGCCCAAGGCCAAGGCCAAGGCCGCCGCGGCCGCGCCCAAGGCCAAGGCCGCGCCCAAGCCCAAGAAGAAGCCCGTCTACGTCGACTCGGACGACGACGACGACGAGTCCGACGCCTTCG